AAATTCGAGTCTCACTTTTTAATGAGTAAGTTAACAATTCAAATCCTTGATAGGTTTAATCCAGAAAAAAAGGTATTCTGATTTACTTTAAAAATAAAGTTTTTAAAGTTTGGCTATTACAGAAGTAGATTCCAAATGACAAAGCATACGATGCTAGTGATGAAAAGTGATTGCTGGTTGCCCTTCAAAATAAAGGCCCAATATTTCATAGTTGGATAATTGCATAGGTAGGAAGTCAACCAGTGATTGGTCAAAACTAAATCTGATTGTTATTGGACCAGAACCACTATTTTAAAATGGCATGATGGTGTTTAAACTCCACCATTACTAATGGCCATTATGTTTTAAAAATCAAATCTGATTTTATTTTACCAAATCTCATTTGATCAATTTTTTTTCTTGCTTTCTTGCCTTAAAAAGAAATTACAAAAGAGAGCAAATATGTTCAAAACTGGATTTTATTTCAGTCATCTCTAATTTGAGATGACGAGAGAGAGAGAGAGAGAGAGAGAGAGAGAGAGAGAGAGAGAGAGAGAGATTTTTTTTTTCACAAATTAAATTGAAGATTTAATTTCAAGATTTGGGTCATAAATTGGGCAATTTATGACCCATAAATTGCTAAAAACAATTTATGACCCAGTCCTAGGCACCACCAAAACTTCTTCAGCAATTTTTATTGCTCTTTTTTGTACTTTTTTTTTTTTGCCATTTATTAGTGCTGATGATGTAAGAAGCAAAACACAGAAGCAACTAATTCTCGCTTCTTTACAACTCATAGAAGTGCAGCATTGGTGAGAGAAGGAGGGCAAAAAGCCCTCAGATGAAGAAATTGAGGCGAATGCATGGTAGTTTGTTTTTTTTTTGTTTTTTTTTTCCTTTCTTTTTTGCTCTAAATGGCGCCATGGCACGCTTACACTCTCAGTGCCAAATTCGTTAAAAATTATCAACGGGGAAAAAGAAATAGAAAAAGTGAGACAAAAGCCAAAACAGTTGTCTTCTCTGCTCCAGCATGGCAATGCTCCAGTCAACAGCCTCATCACACCTAACCAAAGATTTGATTTTTTTTTTCCTTCCAGCTCCCTCACACAATTAGTCTGATGGGTTGAATCAATAAGCCAATGAACGCACTCTTTTGATATTTGATGTGTGAGGTTTTATGCTGCTCTGGTACTCTGCGTTTATTTCGTTTGTTTATTCTTTTTTTTTTTCTTTCTTGGGAGACTTAATGAAAAATGTGCGGCACGTAAATATAGTCTGGGAGAGGGCGATACAGGGTGCTGTGCCCCGACTGCAAATTCCCGCGCTCAGCCAGACGCTGATGTTCCTAAATGTGTACAGTGAGACTCAAAGAGCGCTGCGTATTAGCTTTGAGGTTAAATTGACAGGCGAGATCACCTGTCGTCGTGGTGAAATATCTGCTGTAACGCTCCGCCGCCTTTCAAGGAGGAAGTGTGTGTGTGTGTGTGTGTGTGTTTGAGTGATTGGGAGCAGACTTTCCTGGTGAGCGAGTGGATGTTTGTGGGTTAAAACCTCATTACAAAGGGATCTAAGTCCAAGGCCAGACATTTAGATCTTTCCCAGGCGAGAAAGCCTCCACGACACCGGCTCTGCAGTCTGTCTGACCCAGCAGACACGACGGGGAGGCTTGCTTGCTTACGTGTGAGTGGGTTTGCGTGCATGTTATTTATTTATTTAGTGTGGTAATATGCCTGAGCCTTCATTATAGTGAGAGCCATAACTTTGATAAATCACTTGGGCTCGGGGCCCTCACTGCTTTCACAGTATTAGAAAAAAACTAATTGAAATTCTCTTCCGCCGCCTCCTTCGTACTTTTTCTTTTTCCTGTCTTCCTCTCTGTTTTTTACCCTCTCTCTCTCTCTCTCTCTCTTTCTCTCTCTCTCACTCTCTCTCTGTCTGTCTCTCTCGCTTTCTTCCAGTCTGTGTAGCGAGGCCCAAACAGCACCATGATTTTTTTTTTCCTCTTTTTTTGTGGAATGGGAGCCAAGAGGGGGGAAATGTCATCACTGATTTAATAGGCGTATTCTTGCTCTGAAACCCACAGCAGGCTCATGAACTGACACACAAACACACACGGCACTCTGGGGAGTGTTAAGAATGCTGATAATGTCATCATAGGAATCTCCATAATGTACCCCCGCTCTCCTGCAGGCTCCGGTTCGGCTGGGCTTTTTTTTTTCTTTTTTCTTTTTTTTTTTTTTTATTAGACATGGAGGTGAAGGGGGTAGCAGGATGGGATTTTAGGTTTAGGTTGATGGGATTGGGAGTTTGGAAACTCGTGTCTATGCTCGGGGATTGAGGGTCCGTCTGGGCTGGTTGTCCGGGATCCTCCCAGCTGCCACCGGATTGAAGCTTTAGTCGTTTTATTGTCCGTGATCCCCCTGCCGCTACTTCATTTGTTTCATTTGCATGGATCAAGCCTTCTCTCATGCCAAATCAGGTTGGGGTTTATTTTGCTGCCGCTTGAGCTACCAGGAAAAGCTCTGACCAGGATCTACCCAATCTTTTTTTGTTCCCCCCCCCCCGCCCCAGTACCGAGAAACGGCTACTGTTTGCGCGTCACTCTTTTTCTGCCGTTTTCACATTTCATCATGTCCAACCACAAACATCATTGCATTTTTCTAGGTTGGATTTTAAGGGAGAGACCAACACAAAGTCATGCATGTGGAGTTCCAATCCTCTTTACTCGAACACCCACATATAGAATCCAGTGCAACCAGTTGCTTGCTGGAAGTCGCCTATTTAGTAAACAGAGTTCACGTTCCGACATGTCTTTGGGTGGCCAGATCATAACATGAAGATGATCCATCCTGAAATATATAAACCAAGCTTACCTATTTAAAACAAATAAACCAAATGATAATAACTTACTTTCATAACTAAAGATTAACAGAAGCAAACTAGGATTACGATAAAAGGCACTCCACCCTTGCAGACTCCTTAATATGGCATTCAGCTTTACATGTGTTCACAGACAAAGGTGTGTCTGGTTGGGATGAGCAGAGGACCAATGACAGCCAGGAGAGAATATGTTGATATGAATAAGAATTAGCTGTGTATCTATGAATCTTCTGTTTATGCAAGAACTGCAAGAAGACAACCATTGTTAAAAGAATCTGAACAAAAAGTTCACTTTCAGGCGAGACTAATCACACATCCACGATGTTATGATTGTGGATGTGTGATATTGTAAAGCATACTCATGTTTTAGAATGGCCTAGTCAAAGTCTAAGCCTTAATAGCCTGTTGTAGGGCTTGAAATTTTGTTTCTTATAAATCTGAATGAACCGTGTGTTATATTCCAAACATTATGGACTCAGTTTTAGTTACCGGATGTAAACACTTGCAATGATTATCGGTCGTAAAACCTAACAAACCATGAATGAGTTTCAATCCAATTCCGTAGTTATTCCATCCAGAATTAAATTCCGTGGTTGTAATGTAACAAAATATGAAGACGTGCAAGGCACCGTAGCGTTAAAAGCATATAGTCTGTCTGTGTGAGGTGGTGGGGGCGGGGGGTCTGCTTGTTTAAGCCAACAGACTACATCAAGTCCTGTCAGCACAAAAAATTCCCTCTGCAAACATTCCTCTGACTTGTTGCGTGCCGGGGAGGAAGGCAGCGTCTTCCTGGCCCGCGTCCTTTCCCCAGAAAAGTCAGAGCCGGCGAGCTCATACTGAACCATAACCAATCCACATTAAAGTTCTGTGCGTGCGTCGTTAATGAGGATGCGTTGACTGATTGGACCGCAGTAATTAGCGCGAGTGTTGGGACCTGGAAAGGTTTCCACTCAAGTGGGAGTGTCCCCTCCACCCCCCCTCCAGAGAGATATCGAGGCCGTTCCACGCACCATTACTTCTCACGCATACACCACAGAAGCGGTCCCATCCGAACCTCAAGATGCCGCGTGAGTCATCTCTCTGAGGAAGACGTAATGTTTCGACGCCAGTGTGAAGCAGGAGGAAGGGTGTTGGAGACACCGAGCCTTGCAGCCTGGAGATGCGCGCTGCAGAGGGAGGCGTGCTCATGCCAGCAACTTTCTGTTTCCTGCGCGGTGTGGTTCTCGGATGCCGAGTCGATCATCCACTGCGATACGCATCAACTGTGTCCTCTTTCTCCTTCTCCTTCTCCGCTTCCTGCTCGTTTTTACTTCCACTTCCTGTCTTCCAGACACACACTTTTTCTGCATCAGAAAGCAGTTTCTGCTAAATAAAAATAACATATGAGGACCTCAGTCTCTGTGCTTGGAGTTGAGTTGGTGGAGAATGAACTTTCAATGTAAACTCTTGCAAACAGTGCCTCCACATGGCTAGTGGCGGAATTGCATCATCTGTTTTTGTGGCAGAAGTTTCTGTGATCTTTGTGATTTTAACTTAATTTGTTGAAACTGCTTGATTCGATAAAATTGAGAAACTGATGAAATTCAGAAAGACTTTATTGATTCCAAAGTGAAATTAAAAGTTATTGCGACTCATTTAATTAAAGAGTTATTGTACTGTAGCGGTCTGTATTGCATTGAATTTGAAGAAGCCTCTGACTGAAGACACTGTTTATGACAGTCTCATGAAGAGGACTGTGAGGGTGGTTTATAAGTTTCCTGAATTTTAAGTAAAATCCTTCCTTTCTTCACTTTCCTGGTCAAGGTTGGTTGTTTGTATGATCAGAATCATCTAATCCTTATAGTCAGGAAACTGTGTAACTGGAATTTAATATAAGGTTTTACATTTTCAGACTGTTATAACATTCTCTAAATGTTGCATCCATCTCTCCATTTCTGGATCTGTCAGTCCATCTGTTCATTTGTCCGACTACTTATCCTTTCCTTTCTGTTCTCCTGTAGAAATCTCACCTTATTTATAAAATGTACTGAAAATGATGTCTGACTGGATGTCAGACATCATTTTCAATGTTTTATGAAAATTAATTCTTACCTGTATCTTTCCCCCCTTCCATCTTCCCTTCCTTTTTTGTCACCAAACAGGAAGTTTTACTACATCACTCTGCTGAGGGACCCTGTGTCCCGCTACCTCAGCGAGTGGAGGCACGTGCAGCGGGGAGCCACGTGGAAAACCTCCCTGCACATGTGCGATGGCCGAACCCCGACGCCCGAGGAGCTGCCTTCCTGCTACGAAGGCTCCGACTGGTCGGGGTGCACGCTGCAGCAGTTCATGGACTGTCCGTACAACCTGGCCAACAACAGACAGGTACGCAGCAATTAGCTGATGTATAATGAAACAACGCAAAAA